AAATGTCAGACGAAACATGAAAACACTATATATTGTATTTCAGCCTGAACCCTCAATATTGCAATTCAAGGAATTAACCCCATATGTGCATCCATTTCCCACCTTGGTATCACCCACCCCTGAAAACAAACTCTTAATACCACGCTGAAGCGTTTGGTAATAATTCGTAGTAAGAAAGTAAAGCTGTGTAATTATCCAGATGAAAATGAGTGACTTTTATTAAAAATGACCTATTTATTGTACAATGTGCAGGTTTGCTTTTTAAGTTTAGATTTATTATGATCTCCCTTAAAATCCCCGCCCTAATTAATATTCATGGATGAATGAATAAATTAGGCCAGCTTCATATAAAGACCACCTGTCTATAAAGGACAATTTGGCTCAGACCACTGTATAAGGATAACAGTTACAATAGCCGCACGGACACAAGTGTGACGTTTGCAGGAATAAATGAACTCTCTGCAAAAATGGGTCACCTGTCCAAAGGGTAGGACAAGTTAGACGAGACTAGTATAAAATTCAAAACTCTCGATATCAGTTCATGATGTCTTATCTGACAATTTATTAATGCATTTCCATGTTTTTGACAGTAAAGTACCATAAAAAAATACGTATATAATATCGTATTCACTCAACCCAAACTGTACAGTGTAACGAGATATTGTCTACTTGTGAGATTCCTCTAAAATCCAGGTCATGTAATGAAACGCTTTAGTCGTTGCATGGCGTGTTAGAATTCCGTGTTACACACGTTGTATACAAGGCATGGGACCCATGTGCAGCGCGGCGTCTGTTGCAATGTTTAACATCCGAAGAAGAGGGGTTCAAAGTATTAGGGTTGTTTCAATGATAAATAGACGTGTTGTGTGTGGCTTTACTCTTCTGGCTCAGCGGTTACCATGAAGCCAGTCCGTACATCGGACCATACACAACTAGATGGTACGCCAGGGATACGTATATGACCAAGTTCACTCCCGTGTTCGTGGCGAAACCAAACGCTCTCTTTATCGGTTGATTCAGATATCCGATCCAGAAAGTTATCCGACCAAGTACAAACAAGAATGTCATAACGGGTACATAACGCATGCCCTCGTTACCGAGGAAAGTACACAGCGCCAGTTTACCAAACGCACCGATTGTTAGCTGTTCCAAGGTGTTTTGTAGGCATCGACTGTGTATTTCTACGTACTGAATGTCTTTCTTGGACAATGGATTAATCTGCGAGGTTGAGAAACGTGTGTTTGCAACCACGATAATTATCATGAATAGGGTGAATACGTCCAATGTCAGCCATCGCAGGGTGAATATAAGACGATCGAAGACCGTTGGTAAGACCGGCGTTGGTAGGGGTAGACAATACGCAGCAGTGTATACCACCAGCTGAAACACAAACGACGCAACAGAGTGTTTACAAACTCGCCATTGATCGGGTGTGAACGCCATGAATGTGTTGTACTGGACGCCGTGGTGATTTCCTAAGCTGGTTGGTTGGTCTGGAGTCCAGAGATATCTGAGGTCACTTTACAAAGTGTCATGAATTATCTTTAACTCGTCATAAAGGCCATGTGTCAATGGAAGGCATACTATATGCCCAACACTGGCACACATTATTCGTAATAAAACGCCATGTTTTTCACAAACAACCTATTTATAAAAAACTATTTGAATACACCTGTGGCGTTTACAATGTGGCGTTTACAAACTTCATTTGAATACAACTGTGACGTTTACTGTCTACATATGAATACAACTATATTTACAATCTACATTTGAATAAAAATGTATATTTACAATCTACATTTGAATAAAACTGTGGCGTTCACATTCTCCATTTGAATACAGCTGTGGTGTTTACAATATGGCGTTTACAATCTGCAATTGAATACAACCGGCGTTTACAATCTACATTTGAATACACCTGTGACGTATACAATCTACTTCTGAATACAACTGTGACGTTTGCAATCTACATTTGAATACAACTGTGGCGTTTATTGTTTACATATAAATACAACTGTATATTTACAATTTACATTTGAATACAACTGTGGCGTTTACAGTCTACATTTGCATACAACTGTGGCGTTTACCGTCAACATTTTGATACAACTGTGACGTTTACAGTCTACACTTGGATACAACTGTGGTGTTTACAGTCTACATTTGGATACAACTGTGGCGTTTACAATCTGCATTTGAATCCAGCTGTATATTGTTATGAACACAAGCGTTGTGTTCAGGATCTGGGAACTTCGTCGCACTTGGCTGATGTCACTCACACGTAGAGATACCAGATTCGACCCAAATGAATACACATTAGTTCATTACAGATAGTCCAGCTTTATTCACACAAGCAGTCAGCTGAGGTAACCCCTCGCTGTACCGTTCTCTCCAGCTCCCTCCTTTTACCAAGGTTAAAAACTCTCCATATAAAATTCAAAACACTAAGGCGTGGCGAAGTAAACATGCGATCATCCAATCGCTGCAGTCGTTGGCATGATCACGTGATTACCAAGGATGTGTCTCACCGTTGAAGTCTTGCAAAGTTGCCTCTACTAAATACAACTCGTAAACAATCTATTTATCAAATTCCTGTAATATATGTTTATAATCTCCACCCTAAACATACAAGTTTTTTATTCTGAACAATATTCTAATGTGCAATCGTGAAGTCGCTATCATAACAATATTTACAATCTACATTTGAATGAACTATGGCGTTTACTGTCTCATTAGAATACAACTGTGGCGTTCACAATCCACATTTGCATACAACTGTATCTTTACAATCTTCACGTGAATAAACTATGTCGTTTACATTTTATATTTGAATACAACTGTAGCGTTTTTAATCTACATTTTAATACAAATTTGGCCTTTACTGCGTACATTTGAATACAACTGTGGCGTTGTTATTCTACATTTTAATACTAATTTGGCCTTTACTGTGTACATTTGAATACAACTGTGGCGTTTACAATCTACAATTAAATATAACTGGTGTTTACAATCTACGTTTGAATACAACTGTGGCGTTTACATTTTATATTTGAATACAACTGTGGCGTTGTTAATCTACATTTTAATACAAATTCGGCCTTTACTGCGTAAATTTGAATACAACTGTGGCGTTTACAATCTACAATTAAATACAACTAGTGTTTACAATCTACGTTTGAATGCAACTGTAGCGTTTACATTTTATATTTGAATACAACTGTGGCGTTGTTAATCTACATTTTAATACAAATTCGGCCTTTACTGCGTACATTTGAATACAACTGTGGCGTTTACAATCTACAATTAAATACAACTGGTGTTTACAATCTACGTTTGAATACAACTATGGCGTTTACATTTTATATTTGAATACAACTGTGGCGTTTTTATTCTACATTTTAATACAAATTTGGCGTTTACTGCGTACATTTAAATACAACTGTGGTGTTTATAACCAACATTTGAATACAACTGTGGCGTTTACATTTTATATTTGAATACAACTGTGGCGTTTTTAATCTACAATTGAATACAACTAGCATTTGAAGATTGAAACAAAGAATAGTACTTTTCTCTTAAATGTTGAACGAAAACTGTTCGCTATCAAAGGTTAGCCTACTGTTAGAACAATAGACAAGCCAAAAATAGTATTACTGTAGTAAACACGTAGTAAACGGCAAGGCACAACTAAAACATCATTGACCAGACGCGCGCGCGAAACAGATAAGACTCGAGTGGTAACAACGTGATAACGATTGTAACGTGACAAGTGTACATACCGGCAGGAGTAATCAATTTCTCGTGTCACGTCAATTTATTAAAGCATTTTGCATGTTTTTGACTGAAAATTAAACATACTTGAAACACGTACACTATAGAATATTTTCTGAAGTTATATATCTCCTCCACGTTATTCATTTTATAATACAATAGCAGTTTTAATCAATACATTAGCTCGATGTAACACCTTGCAGAATTCAGTCAGGTGTAAAGTCTGACGTGGGTCGGTTTTTTTCAATGTCGGATAAACGTGTCCTTTGTTGATGTATTCTCCTGACCCAGTGGCGACTATGTCCCCAGTCCATACATCGGTCCATACACAATTAGATAGTACGCCAGCAATAGGTATATTATCATGTTCTCTTCCATATTGGTGGCGAAACCAAACCCTCTGTTTAACGGGTGATTCAGATATCCGATCCAGAAAGTTATCCTCCCAAGTACAAACATGAACGTCATTACGGGTACATAACTCATACCGTCATTTCCGAGGAAAGTACACAGCGCCAGTCTACCAAACGCACCGATTATCAGCTGTTCCAGGGTGTTCTGTAGACATCGACCATGTATTTCTACATACTGAATGTCTTTCTTGGACAATGGATTAATCTGCGAGGTTGAGAAACGTGTGTTTGCCACCACGATAATTATCATGAATAGGGTGAATACGTCCAATGTCAGCCATCGCAGGGTGAATATAAGACGATCGAAGACCGTTGGTAAGACCGGCGTTGGTAGGGGTAGACAATACGCAGCAGCGTACACCGCCAGGCGAAATACAAACGACGCAGCAATTTGTTTACGGATTCGCCATTGATCAGGTGTGATCGCCATTGTTGTGTAGCGCCGGACGTCGAATTCCTACGTTGTTCTGTCTAGAGTCCCGAGATATCTGAGGTATCTGAGGTCACTTTTCAGACTGCCGTGAATGACCTTCAATTCTTCATAGGGGTCACGTATCATGAAAACGCATAATAGACATTGTCATAGATGGCCCTTTCATACAATTCCTGCATAAACAAGTAACTTTTGTTACTAAAAAATAAGTCCGAAAAACGATTACATTTTAATTGTCCCAAAATGTTAATAGAAAAAGTACAGCAGTTTATAAGCCGTTGTTTGTGTTTGTCATTTTAAATTTGAAGAACTACCAATGACTGGACGATTTATTCTAGTTTCATGTTAGAGTGAATCACGCGAGGAATGTGAACGGTTTTTATTTAAAAACAAAAACAAAAAATAAATTATGAATATAATTTAACTGAACGTAAACTTGTACTCGAATCATGCATCTTTGTAAACTACTTATGATTTGCAGGAACATAAATAGATGCATGTAGATTGTCGTCAATGTCACAATCACCTTCAAAAGGTATCGTTTTGTGACTAATATCCTGTCACCCAGAATCATTTTCGTATATGCAGTTTGGTGGTTGCCACTCTATTGAAATACTGACAGAAAAATCACCTGAGTAGAATTTTGCTTTGAAATGCTACAGGCACTCAACATGGGGGGGGGGGGAGTGACAAAGACTAATCTGAAATACAGCATTCCAAATTAAGGAAATGTTTTGGGGTTGAATTAAGTAAGTAAACTTCAAATAAATGGCTCTAACTAGTATTGTATTTATCATAGCGGTACTTATTTTACCCTTCAAACTTAATAATGCGATATTTCTTTCAAGAACATGGTGATAGTTGTATGCCCGACTTTTTTAATTTAACACTATGCAGACTCGAATCGAATAGGGTACACAGAGACCACTTGTTGAGAAAAAAACTAAATGCGGATGTATCGCACATACAAAGCCGCAATTCACCAAATCTATTGACTTCCTGTCGTTTGTTTTCTGTAGATACGCGAAAATATCTTGTGAAATGTTTTGAGACCTAGGTTCGTGGCTTATTTTCACTCTTCTTTGTTTTAAAGAGATTCCACAGAAACGGTAAAATCAAACCTGAAATGAATTGTTTAGGAAACCTAAACATTTTTTTACAGAAATAATGTCAAGATTGAGTGTGCATGACACGTATAGCCAGAATGTTTTTAAAGAACGTATTTATTTATTTTTATTTATTTTTTATTTTTATTATTTATTTTTGTTTATATTTATTTTTATTTATTTTTATTTATATTTATTTATATTTATTTATTTTTATTTATTTATTTTAAATTATCTGTACATCCTTCTTTATTTACGCCGAGAGACATTGTTAAATAAATAAATATGACTTACTCCAGACGCTCTTTGCAAAACATGGAACGAGAAAACTCATTGCGCGAAAGGATATATATATATATATTTAATGTTACAAAAGATAAACTATGCAATATAATCGCTCGTATCAATTTTCATTGTCATAAAGTCGCGCATGCGTAGAATATTTTACTTTTGCAGTCGAAAGATGGTGGACTTAATATATTTGTATAGAGCTCCTTGTTCTCCGGGGAATGGCGTAGCATAGGAAGAAATATGGTAGGGCTACTGAATAACATGTTTATTTATTGCTTGTTTATTATTATACCGAGGACATAGGTTAATATAGATTTGCTCAAGAAACACACCTTGAGACTCGATCACAATCGATGATCACAATCTCATCAGCAGCATTCGTCAGAGTGTTTACATGTATTTACATATTATTTGGGGTTTAGCTTAGAAACACTGAATCTCAATTAGTGAGAATCGTCGAGAAATTTGCATCAACTACAATAGTGATCTGTGTCACCTTTTCAAAAGAACGTCGTATTTGTTGGTGGCATCCAGTTAGTAGCCATGGCAACGGCATTGATACAAAGCAATCACATCGCAAATGGGATTTTTGCATGATTGCAATGACTACGTAACTCAAATATACTGACCTTGTCATAGGTTTACAGCGTGAGTAAGTAAGCGTCGATACTCCCACTGTAAGTTGGCTGCACAAATCGCTCTATTAAGAACAATCTGGATAGACGCCACCGACAGTATCAACACGCATCGTTGATTTTCATAAAGATTTTTTTTATATGGAATATTCAAATACAAGTTAATAAATAACATCCACTGCCAATTTTGGACAGAATTTTTGATTAAAATATAAAACTGATCCCTTTATCTGTAACCTGCAGCTGTTTTATGTATAGACTGTAGTATGCCGTATACGTCGCGACAGGCACATATTTTATCGATGTTTGATCGCAGATTTTCATATACATGTGTATAACAAATATATATATTTCCTTGTATTCATCAATACGTACTAGCAAACGTCATAATTACACGTAATAATTAAGAGTTGTAAAATAAAAAGTGTGTAAAAGCACATCTACAAGAAAACGTAGAGGAGGGTTTTAATCGCAAACACGTGCCGAGAGAAATGGTATCCGCTGAGTATTGATAAGAAGACATATTCGAATCGTCCTGTGTGCAATTTGCTGGACTCAATGATGCTAAAAACACAACCGAATCTTCGGAAATTCTCGGTTATTTACGGATATTTGCAAGCAAATTCTTACCCGGATATCTTGCGGCGATTACTGTTATGGTGAATTTGTTTTATGTCAAATATTAAACGATCTTCTAAATCACTTGAAATTGTTTGAATTTGTATTATATTGTAGATTTTTTTGCAGCATTTGATGTTTGAAGTTAGCAGGTCACATGTAATGAATTTACCAATTCGCTCTTACCGTGCGACGGCCTTTGCTGAATAATTTGCGTTTCAAACCTCGCTTTCGGGACCCCTGCGGTGATACGATACGCACGATTTCCAGCCGATACGTTTCATCGATGTCAGAGTCAGAATTTATCAAAATTTATACTATTCTGTGTATTATTCAAGGCATTCCCACTGCACATTGCATCCAGGCTGGGACAGGTCGACGAAGTTAAAAGATTACTCCAGTGTGGCGAAGAGGTCAATGAAAGAGATTTGGTAAATAACAAGTAGTTTACTAGTAATCCTATTCTCTGTTGGTTGTTGTAGATCAATGTATGGGTTGACCTTTGACCTTTGATCTGATATAGAATAGAATATGACATTGTGAAAATGTAAAATGGCATAACAACATTTAGTAGTACTAAAAGAAGAATCGAGTCTCTTGTTTGAAATCAGACCTCCGATTAGGAAAGCCTTTCTTTTTTGTGACTTTTACCTGGCATGCAATTGAAATGGTGTATGCACGAGTACGTTTATTTATTGTATTCCGGACCAGAAACTTTGACAAGCAATAAAACTATTATGTCTTATTTTTTACTTTGCTAATACTTTTTCATATTTAACTTTTTAAACCCACACTCCGACGACATTTCAATACTTGAGATATCACAATGTGTCTTCTTCCACAGGATGGAAACACACCCATATATAAAGCAACAGATTACAACCACGTGGAAGTAGTAAAGTGTCTTCTGGACGCGGACGCAGATACATCTCTCCCAAACTCAGTGAGAATCACATTACTATATATGAAACATAGTGGAAAATTTAAATGCATTGAGAAATGATTTGAACGATTAATTGTAACTACCAAATTACCCTAATCATGTGAATAGATAAATACTAAATTACCATATTTACCATTGACAACGATTAATGTTAAATATAGTAATTTGATTGTTGCTAACGTAATTACGGCGATGGTAAAGTGCCCCCCTCCAACCATGATATCGATGTATGTGTTAATATTGTGTTTTTATTGTAAACGAATGTGTTCCAACTGCATGGGGTGTTGCTATGGCTCACTGTGGTATACGTCATAAGACAAACTGTTTCCGGGGCAACTACAATTTATGTTTTGGTCAAGGTGTTGTATAGGATAAAACCCGAGATAACTTCCGGGATATTAAGAGTCCGAGTACGAGGCTTGGGACAGGAGATTAAGGTTAAATAAAGTCAGACAATGGTGCGTTGTAATTGACCGAGAGAGACTAGATGGTTTGTAAGTACATGATAATGTCATGATTTGTGATTGTGTTATGACCAGCTATTCAATTGTACAGGATGGGAACACTCCTTTATATAAAGCGTCATGGAAAAACCACGTGTCAATTGTACAGGTTCTTATCAAGGCAAAGGCCAATGTCAATTCACAAAATAAGGTTAGTTCAGATGGTTTCATGAATTTAAGTTCATTATCGCGGTATATTTTAGCATAACATTCATTCGTTATGGCGCCGCTCCACTAACGCCTACAATGTTGGTAATTTTAAATTATGGCTATTGACCATGAATGTGATTGGTTGAATGAAAACGCCATTACCGCATTGCAAATCATTTGGAGGTAGCGTGATTATAGGAGTCCCTTGCATGTAGTATTTAAACTGGCCAATTTTAGTTGTTAATGGTATGATTTCTTAATAGTGTGTGATTTTTGAACAGATCTTCATGGGTGATGAGAAATTCCTAGCGTCGTACCTGTGTCGTATAGAGAGAGGGAGATGCCGTTTATATCGGGGGTGATTTTCGCATTCACAGTGTTTACTGAAAATGAGGTTTCAATTTTTGAATTATACCTATTTCATAAATTAATTTGATTCACGTGATAAATGCAATAAAAGTGTCTCTGTATATCATCTCTGTCTTTCGGTCATGAGGTGCCGTGTATTCTACAAACTCTCGTGAGATTTCACATGATTATCAACCTGCGACCCCCTAACTTTAACATTGTTTTGCTGGATACATGTATGTAAACACAAATTGAACAAAAGTCAACGTTAAATCTAATTTATAATATTGTAAATTTCCTACATAGTCTGGCGACACGCCATTACATACGGCATCACTTAACTTTGGGGTGGATGTAGTGAAGTGCCTTCTATCGGCCGGAGCAGACCCGAACATAAAGAACAAGGTAGGACGCTTCTGAAGCAATATATCTGTGTTGTAACTGTACCAAATATATAATGTCTCATTTCTTGCTAATGTCACGTTATACGTGATGTAAATATTCGAAATGAAAATGATACTGTAAAACGTGTCTTTTTAACTCACATAGCTAATCGGTAATTTTGCTAATTCAAGGTGTCGCTAATTCAAAATTAAGTATATTCTCACAACGATTGTTATCACTTCAGCTTAATAAATCTAGTATTTCATACAATGAGTCAAATGCGTTAAAATTGCATATGTTTATTGCTATGTCATAGAGTAACATTTATTGGTCGTAGAGGGTACCATATCGAAACTAACTTGGAGATAACTTTGTGACCAAGTAAAACTATTATTTCTCACAGATTATATTCCTGTTCTAAGTCTTTTTCAAAATAGGCGGTTTGGGGTTATAAATTAAACAAGTCTCACCTGTTTAAAAACTAAACATTCATATATCTTGAGTTGTCCCGGATGTGAATACGCTAACCTGCTCAATCTATCTATATATACATACGTATCTGTAAGATATACGTTTATTATTTCTACACAGTATGGTAATACACCTTTATATACAGCGTCGGGGAATAACCATGCGACAATGATGAAATATCTTGTACGTGCTGGCGCCGACATTAATCATCAAAATAAGGTATTTACCTTTGTCTCTGCGCATGCGTGAATGCATCAATAAACAGGATCGTGATCAATTGCCTTTTGTGTAAAGTTTGTTCGAGTGAATACCATTCTAATATAGACATGTTTTTTTGGGTTTATTAGAAAGGAAATACAGCACTGTATACCGCGGCAGGATTCAATTGTGTTGACACCCTAAAGTACCTCATCCAAACTGGCGCTGATTTAAATATTCAAAATGAGGTAGGTTTGTCTACTATTGGAATTTATTGATGTATTTTAAATAAATGATACATTTCCAAAAAGATTACATTTATAACTTCACCTGAAGTTTGATTATATTATACTAAGTTCTCTTACATGTTATCTTTTGTATGTATAAATTTGTAATTGTCCATCAGTATTGAATGTTTGACAACTATCAATGGCAAGTCACGGTGCATTATTAGTAGTTAACTCCAGTTGTTTACACATTTCCCAGCTATATGGTTATTCCATGTCTTGCTGTAGTACATATGCTAGACGTTTAAACTTGTCTCTCTTCCAGACAATTAATATAATGTTTGGTAGATATCATGAGTGTATGGCAAACATGAATACGACTATGTTCTCAGTAGGCATAAATGTAACTTGGTAAATAACATTTCGACTACGCCAGCGTTTGGTGTCACATACTGTTACACGGGTGATCTCAGATTGCATCAATGTCACGAGCCAGAACTTAACCTGTTTTATAGACGCTCGTTGATTATGACTCACATGCAGCCTATGTCCACTGTCTTCGAACATTCGACTTTAGTTCTTCACTGTATGCCTTGAGGTTCATGTGAATTTTTTTTACGGTGCGTGTTTTGTTGTAGTTGTATTGTGTCTAAAAAATATTCTTTTTATTGTGACAATTTAATGATCTACGTAACGGTTGGATATGTTTTTTTTTACTCTAATGTGCGAGAGGGGTAAATTATTTCACTGTTGTGACGTAAAGTTATCATTGCGTTATTCGTACCATTGCTATGTTGTGTTTTCATGTGGATTAATTGGCTCGAAACAAACAACAAGTACACGTGTTTTTATACGTGCAAGTTTGTCATGGATATATTATTTTCCGTGTTTTTATGTAGAATGGTAACACGGCATTATACATGGCAGCATGGAACAATAACACAGAGGTGATCAGATGTCTGGTTCTGGCTGGTTGCCTTATAAATGTACGAAATAAGGTAAGTATCTATCACATACATCCTACATTAGGTCCGCTGTATTGAAACATTTCTAGAAGTAACAAGAGTTGGCAGAGCCATCTCGATGCTGGGAAAATAAAAAGTATTTAAAGGTGTGTTTTGGAGCAATGGATTGGCGAACAGGCAGGAAAGCAATTTCAGTGACTTTGACTTTGTTTCAATGAAAACTTGAAGTATACATGAGGGTACGTGTTATTAATTTTGGAAACTCAATTTCTAACTGAAGGAATTAAACTAAATTAAATAATCATGTTTGTTTATTTTGAATCTTAGAAATGACTACTACTACGTTCAACTCGGGACGTTTAATTCACAGTCACTTGGGGGCTGAAAATCAATAAATTCTAATTTAAAAAAAAATCATCCACTATACGCATATAAATAAACAAGTTGTGAAACATGGCACCTAGTAAATCGACACCTTGTCGGTTTCAAATTTCGATTTCTTACCTTAAAATGCGAAACAAAAAGTTTTGAGGGGATCTGGTGTTACGTTAATAACCATTGTACATAATCGACAGCTTGGTTTTATTCAAAACTGCACAAATCCCGCGTTTTCTGATGATATCCGACGATTTCATGAACGAAAATGGCTAGCAGCCAGAATCAAGGGGGATTCGAGTTCTGGGTAAATCAACTGCGCATACTCATTGAGCGAGCGATGTAGTCGAACAACATGCATTACGGCAGCCATGTTTGTTTCACCTCGATCAGTACAGTATTACCCACGATGCACTATTCATATAAACATGTGTTAAGCCACTATTTTGGTATTTGCCACTATTTTGGTACCGTGTCAATAATGAGCGACCTAAGAGGTGGCAGTAAAGCCTATTGAATACATGTACTACTAATGAGCAAGCGGACAATAACTACTGCGACAATAAAGACCGCCACTAGTAACCAAAATACTTGCAGCTTGTTTGGACATTGGTGGATTGTAAAAGTATCAACGTTTAGCATGAAAATAAAATAAATTGAAGGTGTGTTCCAAATTAAATGTTTCTTGAAAATGGATTTGATGATAAAAAATCTTTAACAGTAAAATTGCACACAAATGATACTTTACTACAGGGATGGTACCAAAATAGTGGCACATATAATTTAGTTGTCGGGACTGTTATACTTCACTATAGGGATGGTACCAAAATAGTGGCACATATAATTTTGTTGTCTGGAACTGCTTTACTTCACTATAGGAATGGTACCAAAATAGTGGCACATATAATTTTGTTGGCGGGAAGTGTTATACTTCACTATAGGAATGGTACCAAAATAGTGGCACATATAATTTTGTTGTCTGGAACTGCTTTACTTCACTATAGGAATGGTACCAAAATAGTGGCACATATAATTTAGTTGACGGGAACTGCTATACTTCACTATGGTGATGGTACCAAAATAGTTGCACATATAATTTAGTTGGCGGGAACTGCTATACTTTACTTAAAGGGATGGTACCAAAATAGTGGC